TTGTCTTAGACAGAGTCACAATTAACAGATGGTTTTGTAATGCCTTGAAATGGGGACCTGCGTCACGCTGTACCCAGCAGGCCAACCCCTGCTGGATTGGTGCTGCTTGGGTTCGTACAGGTAGCAGAATTGTGTGGAACTATGATTTGGGGTTCACCCAGCAGGTCTGGGGTGGGGCCTGAGGCTCTGCCCTCCTAACAGGCTTTAGGGTAATATCCTGTTGAGAATCCTTGGGCCACGTTTGTGGGGTCCTGCCTGAAGGGATGTGCCAGTTTTAAAGGTGTATCAGCTACAGATGCCCTTCCTTTCTTAGCAAGGAAGGTGAACACAGGCAACATCAATTCAGGGAAGCATACCACTTTCTCTGGCTTGTCTGCCTTTCTTCGAGTCAAAGACGGAGACCCAGACACCCGCCGCCATAGCAGAGCTCCGATGCATGCAAAGTGCTGGGAGGGCCCCAAACCTGGTGACCGACTCTGGTTACATCATCATGCCCTGACTTGGTATCCACAGGCAGAGAATGAGGTCAACATGGGGCTGTGATACATAGAAGGAATCAGGGAGTGGACCAGAACAGCCTTTGTGTGTGGCCCGGAATCTAAGGAGACAGACAGAGCTTTTTCAGGCTCTACTGCAATAGTAGAAACGCTGGACACTGTTGTCAAACGCAATGAACATCACTCCCAATCCCAACTTGCTGCTAAGCAATTATACTTTCCCCACTAAATTTGCCAAATAAATATAAGACCGGTGCAAGCCATTTTTGCCTATCTTCACAGATTTTGGTCAAGTGAATGCACTCAACAGGGGCTTCCCATTTCCCTCCCTGAACTCACCCCACAGCGTTCTGCGCTCTCACCAGACAGAGCAACCCTTTCTTTTGCATGCACAGCCTTGCCTACAATGAACTGCTGTGATCATTCTGTCAAGGCCAAATCCTGGCTCTTAGCTCTCCAGTCAAGAGAAAACAAATAATCATCCTAGCTCTCTTGCCAAAAACAATTTGCTAACCCATCTTCTGTCCAGAAAACAAATGGAAAATAAAATGCAACCAATAGTCTTCCAGTGTATCTCTCTGATGTTTATCTCCCGCGAACAAGTAGGTGGGTTGCCTGCCAGCATGACCCTGTAATACGTGTGTAGCAGCCCCATACACACCAACAGAACAAGCCTATAGAATTCCAGTCAATGCTAGTGTGGAATTGCCAAGCCAGCAGTGTTAGCAGGGTTAGCTAGAGCCTTCTTTGCCCAAAGCTTGACTTGTGTTTCCCCCCCTAACTAATTAATTGCCTCATTTGGCATTATATAAAGATGGCACATTTCACTGGACATCCGTTTATTCATAATTAACAAATATTTCTTATGCATCTATTTCCTGTTGTGTGCTGTTCTAGTACTGGGCATGTGACAATTGACAGAAGCAAGTCCCCCTCCTGTGGGTTTTCTCACTTACTCTCATCACTGACTTTATCCAGCTCAGTCTCCAAAGAGAAAATGGAGACCCACACACGTGAGGTAGATCTGCCAAGGCAGATCTGTTCCGGGAGCAGCTGAGGTTGGATCAGAACATATGTGTTCTGACTCCTGAGCTGGCCTCTTTCTCCAGCACCACACCACACTGAAAGGCACCTTTAGCACAATGGCCGGGGTGCCCGGCCTCCATTGTGTCAGAGTCTTTACCCCAGTGAAGGAATCTCAAGAGCTTGGGCTCTGGGTGGTAGAGGCTGGGTCCTTTTTGCTGTTATATGTTTTGTTTTCAGAAAGTAGAAGGAAGTTTGGGAGCTAAATAAAAGTAGTATTTGTACTTGATGAGCTAATAGACAGGCTGGTTGTGAGTTTAGAGATCCATGTCTCCTCTCCCTGCGAGCTGACACCTTCTCCCGATGAGTCTGTGGCTGTGAGGGCTTGCTGCCGGAATGCTTATCGAGAGGGAACTCCACGGCATGTGCCTTCCACTCTTGTCCCTTGTCTAAGTGGTGACATAGCCACCATCATCTCCAGAATGAGTGTCTATACTCCTCCACGCCGGGGAAAACGTTACCCACATGGGGAAGTGGGTGACAGGAAGTACAGATGTCTGCAGCATCCCTCAGTTCCCTTCCCACGTGGAGAAGCTTGGTCCCAAAGGAAGCCTCTCCCAGCAGAGAAAACTGGAATGCAGCTGTCACTCCACTGAGGTCTCCATTTCTGCCATCAAGAGAATGGATAGCCAACTGATGGTGACACAGCCTTTAATCCCAGCCCTGGGGATGCAGGGGCAGAAGGATACTGCCAGCCTGGTCTACAGAGCCAGTTCCAGGACAGCCAACGCTACACAGAGAAACCTTGTCTCAGTGAAGAAAGAAAAAAAAAAAAAAAGATGGACATGAGCATGTCCAGCAATACCATCTTTTGTTTCAGGTGAATTCTGGCTCAGGATATATGTGCTTGGTGTGTGCCTGGCTTGAAAACTATAAGGAATAATGCCTTCTGCTGTCATTGGTATGCAGACAATGGAATTTTAGTCTAGCCTCTCAATTCATCAAAACATAGACCACCTAAGTATTAATATGTGACTCTGAAAAAAAAAAACCCACAGCTGACAGTGATTGACACAGTGACTTTCCGGGCATTGCACTAACTGCGTCTTATACATAACTCCATTTAATCATCAGAATATATTGTATTAATGCAGTTTTACATTTGGGGACACAGATTTAGGTTAAAGACCTGACCTGAACCCCCACAATCAGTAAGTGACAAATTTGAAATTCAAGCTCAGTTTGTATCGCTACAGCCTGTACTTTTCATCGTCCACTCGCTCTCCTTTGAGTCACACATGCACACACAGCCCCGTGGGGCACACACCATGCATGACGCAATCTAAACTATATTTAATTGAAGGTGGGGCATAGACCAGTGGAAGAGTAAGTGCCTGGCACACACCGTAAGTTCAAGCCCTGACACCCCCACCCCCACCAATGCAGATGACATACTGGTAATTTAGCTTTTGGTATCATTTTGGCAGAAATTAATTGAAGTCTTGTATGAGTTACTTTCTGGATCGCTCCAAACTGGAATTTCCCTAACGATATCAAAAAAGGAGCCCATGATGTCCCTAAAGAAGAGTCACTCTGGAAATTTCCACAAATGCCAACTGGCTCTTTGGAGCTGAATAAAAGACAAATTGAGTAGCAGTGACCTAGGTTAACGTCCCTCAAGGATTTTCTCCTGAGCCTTCCCCCACCCCCACGGTATCCAACAGCTATCCTGGCAACGGCTTCACTACCCTAGCTCCTTAGTCTTGGCCACCATGAAGGGGCACAGCAAACATGGTCTCCCCACTTTTGCCCTGTTTGTCTTTAAACAGAGCGACCGTGAAGCCATTTGTCTCCCATCACGTCACATCTGAAGCTTGTTCTCAGATAGCAAAGTCCCATGCTAGTCTTTTAATTGGGCAAACATTAATACTACCAGGAGAAATGAAACCGAAAGGAGCCTAGTAGGATCACACACAGTCCTGCATTTCTTCTGGGGTCACAATTGCCCAGAGCGAATGCAGAACGCCCAGGAGGATCAGACTTGAGATGTATAGGATGGAGGTGACTGGAACAGGTGTGGGAGGGCCGGGTACCACTTGCCACTGCTGTTACACACTCATTAGCATCTTTAAGTGGGCAACTCCTAACCAAGCCTCTTTCATGTAGCTTGCTTTGTGGGAATTCTAGGAAAACATTTTTTTCAAAACAAAGAAAAATAAGCCTGTGAATCGAACAAACCCAGCATTAACCATCCAGTCCGACAAGATTTTCTGATCTTCACTAAGCTGATGGCACGGTTTTAAATAAAGATCAATTACTTGATGGTGGTTAAAATGCAATCCAGCCAATTACTCTTAAAATGGGCAGCGACCTTTATTACTCTCTTCATACCCTGAGGATTTCAACCCATACATATCATAGAGACGAATAAGCCTGGGACATGTGCACGGTCATTGCACACCATCCAGCACCTCACTGGATTAAATTATTAATACCAGCAGCCATGCCCCAGTCTTGGCCTGACCTTGATGACCTATTTTTGACAACATGATCCTGGCTCCCTCCTGGCTTGCCATATTAAGTTCTTGGTAACATTATCCTCTGTGACAAATGCAATGGAAGTGAGTTAGACACTTAAACTCTGGTGGCACAGTATATGCGCCCAACTACCTCCCAGTGTTTTATCTGGTGCTTAGAAAAGCAGGCTCCAAGTGACAATTTTTCAATTGCATCCATGGCTTAGTTTTTCATTCTCCCTGACACAAGCCATCAATCTAAATCCTCCCATTCCAGCCACACACCAAATTTCAGAACTGAAGCCGTATGCCCTCGAATCTTTGCCTTCTTCTGTGTAGTACATGACCCCCACCCCGTCGACAGTGGACAATACATTCGCATTTACCCCCCCCCCCCATGTGGCACCTCTCCCATAAGCCCCCCACTTCCGGCACTATTTTAGAGCAACAGTCCCCTCCTTTCCCTCCTACTTTAGTGACAGCGATAGTCACACACCAACAGTCCTCTTTGGGAGGTGGAGTACAGAATGGAAAGAAAAAAGCAGAAGGGCACCTCAAGCCAGACAACTTAACAAAACCCCCGAGCAAATAGCAGTTCTCCACAGACACCCTGAGAGGGCTCCCAGGATGCAGCACTGGGGAGCGGTGATCCCGTCAGCGGGGCACACCACATGTCCCAATGGCTCCTCGGTAACCCAACCAAGTTGTCTGTGCCAAAAAATTCAGATTTAACACAGCGTCCTCCTCAACCCCAATACAATTCTATTTCCAGCTCTGCCAGCCTCGGCCCTGCCACACATTCATATTCTCTTCTGCAAAGAGGCGTGAGTTTACACTCTGGGCCATCCATCAGTCACACCTTTAGGTTTGAGAAGCAGCCCGGTGGTTTCTGTGGAAGACGCCGGGTCAGCCTCCATCGCAGGGACATTGAAATGAAGGTAGAAAGAAGTATGTGGTCACTTACCAGCTCCCGAGGGCTGAGTGGCTCTGGCCCCACTGCTTTACCTGGTTTCTGGCTGTCTCTGCCTTTCCCTCTCTCTCTCTCCCTCTTTCTCTTGTGTACAGATTGCAGGGGAACTTAAAGAACTCGCAGGGACAGTGTTTCAAATGACTTAAGAAGGAGAACAGGAACAATACTTCGTTCTCTTTTTCTCAGATGAGTACCTTCGGGAAGAAGGAAGGAAGGGAGGGGAGAGGGAGGAAGTCAACAACCCTTCGCTTTCCTGAAAAAAAATAAGGAAACAGAAGATAGACATCTCATTTTCTCTTAAACAAAAATGTTGTGGGGGGGGGAGGAAGAAAATCTTTACAAAAAAGAATTCCTCAAATATGCTCACTGCCCTGGGAGCTTTAGTGAGATGAAACTCCTGAGTGGCCCTGTCCTGTCCAAACAGACGCAGGCTCTCCTGAGTCGCAGCCTCTGGTATCTGGCTTGCAGAACTAACACAGCCCAAAAGGAACAAATCATGTCCTGTCGACTCTCAGCCCGGGGAAAGTGTGGGCTGCTGTAGTAGCCAAAGGGAACCTGCAGCCGTTAACAATGGGCATGGTGGCTGGTCACCCAGGCCTTTTGGCTCTCCCTAGCAGCTTTGAGAAACCACCGTGGCTACAGTTCTTGGCTGACTCTAGGTTCTTCGCGATTGAACAGCAGATTTATGCACTGCTCACTAAGCTCTGTGCGGTGGGCCAAGTCCAGCTCCATCTTTCCGATGGACGAAAAAGGAAAAGAAGCAGCCACTTAGCACAGTGCTGCCGGCCATGGTTAGTTCTGACTGTTGTTTACACTGTCCTGTCGTTCTTGGATGTAGTCACCTCTGGAACTCTGGAAGACAAGTGCTAATTTGTTTTGAAAATACTGCAGAACAGCTGAGGTCTTAGATAAATCGATCTCTGTTTTTGAAGGAGGATGGGAAGGCTGAGTAGGAGCAGAGAAAGTGGAGTGAGCATCCTTTACCGAAGACAGAACTGGTGCTCCATGGGCCTGCCTGGGCTCCCTGAGGGATGCCTGCACTTACTGAGGGAGTTGGGGATCAGTGGGCAGGCCTGGGCTCCTTGAGGGATGCCTGTACCTACTGAGGAAGCTTTATGAGTCTCATGCCCTCCATTCATCCAGTTAAGCCCATGTCACCACAAACAGGAACAAGTAGCTGTGGTCCTTTTTGATGGCATGAGAAATATTGTTTATAAACTGCTTCCTTGATTTACTTGATAGTGAAAAAAAAATGGAGTGAGGAGTATACCTGATGGATGGCCATGGGAAAGGTGTGTTCACAGAAAGTGAGGCCTAGGTTCAGAGTCCATATGACACTTCCACTGGGTACTGCCATCTACAGCACGGAGTGTTCATCCGTGTTTTCTTTCTACGTCATTGTCTCTGTCTGCCTGCCTATCTACCTGTCTGTCTAAATGTGTGCAAGATCAGAGAGGACATGTAAGAAGCATAGTCTGGATGTTTCTAAGAACTGGGAGGATTCCATTCTTGGCATTTGTGATGCATCCAACTTTCCCACAGAAACTCCTGCCGTGAGCGAGCCTGTCCCTGTGGGTGAGAGCACCAACAGCCAGCAAAACTCCTCTGCCCTTCAGCCAAAATCACACAAAGCAGCAGGCACCAAGCACTCATCAGCCTCCTGGGTCCTCTCCAGGGCTCTTGCCCTCTGCTGGCCTTCCCCTGCATCCTGCCTGCAGGGAGGGGAGGAAAAGGAAAGCCAGGGAGGCAAGAGGGACACTGGAGAAGGAAGGAGGTAAGAGCAGAGGGGAGGCAGCAGTGGACACACCAGGGAGGAATCCAGAAGCTCTGGAGCACAGGGCTTACCATAGGAAGCCATCATGGAAGAGAGGCCTGTGGGACCCACAGGGAGAGAGTGGGCATCAGTCAGCACAGCAACAGGGGTGTGTGTGTGTGTGCGTGTGCGTGTGTGTGAGAGAGAGACTGGGAACAGACAAGGGTCCCTGCAGCCAAGAAACCTTCACCACCCGAGGGTGGCCCTTCCTAGTCCTTATTCTTCTTGCAGCCTCAGGCCAGGCCAGGCTGAGCCCCAGGAGTCCAGACCCAATCCAAAGGATGTCCCTTTCAAGTCTTTAGAACGTGGGGACTGTCACGTTGGACCCTGCTGTTTTCTCATGGCTAGCCGACCCACCCAAGAGAGCCTGGACAGGGGCATGCCCATTCAGTGTGCTGGGCTTGGCTTGCAGGCATCAGCCTCTAGTAGGCTCTTGGGATGCCCTGGGCTTCCTGAGGTTGCTCCATGCAGACACCTGGCTGTAACCTGCCTGCTGGAGCCACAGTTGGGGCTTCTTCCTCTTCCCTTGCTCTGCAGTCATATGGAAAGCCACCTAGGAGCCTCCTCCCATCACCCACTGGGTGTCAGAAACTGAAACTTCCTCAGTCCCTCCCACTGGGCCTCCTGAGAGAGATCTGGGTCAGCCTCTAAGCTCTGGGGAGCTCCTGGAGGCTGCTCTGGGTCCTACTGAGGGAGGAGTATGGGCACCTGTGCTGAGCCAATGAGCTGATGCATGTGTGGCATGAATGTAACCTGGGCTTAGATCCCCACCTTCATAATCTTCACACAGCATGACTCATTGTAGAAATCATTTGAGTTGGCTAGAAAGGGCCATAGACCCAGGTGACTTGGAGAAAAGCAATGATGGGACCAAAACAGAGATTTAACAACACAACAGCACCAGCTTCCTCTCTCATGTGAACTCACTCATCACAGCTTCCCATTTCTAAACCATTCTGATTCATGGACATACATCTCCAGGTATGGTAACAAGAACTCGGGGGCCTTCTGTTCACCCTGGGAGTAAGTTAGTCCCAGATCATGGAGGTGGAAAGCCAAGGTGAAGGTAGGATAGAGACAGAATGTACATTTTGAAAAGTGAACCAAGAGCTTCATGTACTGCTCCATGAATGTCCATAAATACATCTGTCTGTGTGGTCAGCGTCCACAGCCAAAACAGGGCTTTCATCCTCCTACCACATCTGTGCTCAGGGGACATCATCTTCATGTCTAACCACAGTTGCTTTGGAAGTTGCATAAAGTATGAACCTGGCTTTTGTTTATCTGCTTGGGGTTTCTTAGCCTTGGCATTTTTTCAAGATTCCTCCCCAGTGTTGAGTGTGTTTGTAGTTCATTCCACCTCACTGCTGCCTGGTACCACAACTTACACGTCTGCTGTTCTGAGTCATTTTTAATATACAGCATCACATCTGTCCCTACCAGATGTCTTCTTAAAGGTCAGAGGCAGGTCTCATTTCTCTCTGGGAAGAGAGTTTTCTCCAGTGACTCACTATTTTTTCGGTTGGTTGGTTGGTTGGTTTAACTTCCTTTGGCATCCAGTTCCTCGCACCTGGGATACATGGTGTCAAGGTTTCTTTTTTAATCATACGGATTGGTTTGAGGGTACGGTGATACCTCAGGGACGCTGGCAGAGTTCCTGAGAAGCTTGAACGCGTTATTGGAATGCTGTTCTCATTCCCTGCAGGGACCTGGAGATGGTGGCTTCTGATCTCCAGCCTCATGGTGCGGGCTTCATCTCTTGGGTTCTGTGGACAGCAAGTCTCTGTTGCCCTCTGGGTCCACGAGGACATGCAGAGTTCTATCATCCTAGTGTGCCCAAGGGTTGGCCTAGTGTGCCCTAGCCTGAAACTGCTCTGAAATATCCATTGTCTCTTTGGTTTATTCTCTCCCCCCACCCCCGTCTCTCTCTCACACACACACCAAGCCCTGGTGTTTATTCAAAATACAACTCAAAACCTCGGGAACATGTGTGTCTTTCTTCCTTTTTAGTTTTAGTGTGCTGTGTTTCGTTTTCCTGAAAAGCGATATGAAGGTTCTGGGGAAGGAGCTCTCTCATATCCATCATATTTTTTATTTGCATCAGGTGGCAATGTTTACTCTTTGAATGTCATGATCTGTCTAAGGATACAACAGCTCTGTGGAGGAGGTGCTGCCACCCTCCAGCCCTCTGTGATTGGGAACATATAGTCATTGCACTGACACACCATTCCAGCATCATATCAGTAAGATTTCAAACCACCATGAATTCTGTTTCAGAACCCTAATTTTTTTTTTAGATTTATTTATTTGTTTAAGTATTTGGGTGTGTTGTCTGCATGCCCATCTGTGCACCAGAAGAGGGCATTAGATCCCATTATAGACAGTCGTGAGCTCCTATGTGGATGCTAGGAATTGAACTCAGGACCCCTGGAAGAACTTGCCAGTGAGTGCTCTTAACTGCCGAGCCATCTCTCCAGCCTCAGAACTCTAATTTTAAGCCACAGAACCAACTGGTTTGCCTTCCACATAAGCAACGCCTGTCAAGTAGTAAAACCACAGTGAATGGTTCCTAAAATTAATGAAATTGTGCTTTATATTGTAGAAGCAAAAACTGCACGGCCAAGAAGCTCACTAGGCAACCATGTAGTGAGCAAGTCTGTGTGCCCAAAGGCTTCATGCTGCAAGTAGTCAGTGTGCTTCTGGGTTTTGTTTGCCTGATAGAGGCGAGAGTTATATTAAGCAAATTAGACAAATCATGCCTAGATACCTAAACAATTATCATTGCTTAGATAGAGAGTCTTTTCCAGAGAAACCTGTATGTCAACTGAAGTCCAAAGAGCAACCACGAGCCAAGTAAAGATGCTAAGGGAAACTCATGTAAGGGCAGCATGGTAGGTCTGAGTTCAGACTCTGTTCTTGGTCACAAGAAGGATGGAAAACGTTAAAGCTTTCACAGGAGATATGAGAGTACCTCATAGGCATTTCAGAAAGACTAGCTTGGTCCCTGTGCAAAGGTGGGTTGTGGAGAGGCAAGAGTGAATGTGGACAGGCAGTTGTAAAGTGTAGGCTATGTTGATGGTCCTGGTGAGGACTACCAGATATCCAGCCAGGCAGGCTAATGCCTGGACACAGGATAACCATGGCAGCTTGACAGGTGTGTTGATAGGTTGTATGACAAGGGAATGAAGATAGACAATGTGTGGTGTAAATAGCTTATAAAAGATCCACACTGTCAAAAAACATCTTCCACCATGCCTCTGATTCAATCCCCATTTCCGAATCTGGGTACTTAAACTGCCCCTATTCTGCTGCAACATCCAATCAGCTTGCCTGCCCCAACATGTATCCTTACACCTAAGCTTATCCATAGCCATGCAACAGAGTTATACACACCCAGTGCTGCTGCCAGAAAGCTATCAAGTGTTCCTAAAGCTTGCCTGAAAGTGGCAAGTTTGAGTGATGTATTCAAATTTGGTGAAATGACCAGAGTCAGAGAATACATGTTAGCTATTCTGTGATAGAATGAAGGTTGATGTTGTCTAAGCAAATTCTGCTACACATGGCAGATTGGTAGTATTAAAACTGGCACACATAGTTGTAAGCATTATCTACGACGACGAAGAAGA